TGCTGACACAAGCATGAGATACCATTAACACCTAATTTATACAAAATAAAGACATTAGAAATATTAGCTTATTTTTTTCTAGTGATATGAAGCCTTGTACAATATCATATAAATAAAAAGTGATAATATTTAGAATATAAAAAAATTTGATTGCTAATATGAGCTATTGCTAAGAAGTTATTTTTCCAAGAAAAGATTAGGAATATTAAAAAGGAATTCAAAGAATTAAAAACATAAATCAATAAGTGGTTGAAGCATTATAAGAGCTGATCCATTAGAGGTGTGAAAAAGATCTAAACTTCTTAATACTTGGTCAAATCAATCAAGCATGGATTATTGGTCCTAAATACTAGATTAAATTAGCAAAATAATGTGTATAAAGATGTAGAAATTTACTAATAGATTTGGATTACAATATCTAATATGAAAAATTTAATAACACTTATAATATTATATTCTTTAAATAGCAATAATTCATCTTATTCTTCTCTCAATAGTAGATTTACTTTAAATTATAGAACATTCAATGCCTCTAAGTCTTTATAATCTGGCTTTTACAAAATAATTAGATGCATATAATTTAAAAACATTTATCCATATTATAGATTTTACCAATTAGTCACGATTTTTTAAAAGAATTTTACCAAAATCAACAAAATATATATATATATATATATATATATATATAGTACAAAGAAAAAAATTGAATCCAACTTTATCTTACAAAATAAATATAATTATTCTAAAACCAAGATAATAATATATTTTGACAAAAATAAGAAAGAACCTAAAAACTCCATCTTGAAAGAGAAGTTCATCCAAGGAATTTTCTAAGTAAGAGTTTTGGTTAGTAAGAAATTTTTAGCAAAATGTGAATTAGATGTAGCTAGAACTTTGAATTTTGAAGTAGTATAAAGTGTTAGTCCTTCCAAGACACTTAATAATTGTAAAATCAAGATACAATAAGCAATCATTAGCAAATGATATAACTTGTTAGCGAATAGAAAAATGATTAGTAATAATGCAAACAGGGATACAATCATGTGCTCTAAACTATCTTCAAATTAAGCTATTTTTAATAGAAATTAAAAGAAAAAATTACTTCAAGAGTTATAACTAGAGAAGATTTATAAAAATAATAAATAAATAAATAAATATAAATAAATAAAAATAACAACAATAATACACATATACACACACACACAAATACTTTACATGCATGCATGCAAATTAAACAAGTAGAGACAAATGAAAAAGATGAACTATTACCTTTCAAAGAATATATCATTGATTATACAAAAGTTGATAAATAGAAGAATTTCTATATTTAAAAATATACTATCAAATATTATTATAAGATAAAATCAAGTAAATTAAAATGGTTAGATACAAAGGATTTAGTAACTCCGATAGTAGCAACAAATTTAAGAGTAGAGAGACAAGAAAATATATGTGCAACTTCCATTACAAAATAACTTCTAGAAGATCATGGATACAATAAATCCTAATTCCTAAATGCATGATTAATAATCTCTATTTTTATTATGGTTACATTCATCTACCTATTGCATGACAAATCAATCTTTCAATTATAAAATCTCGCCTTTTTTTTAATTACTAAGCAAAAAAACAAGATTATAAGTTTATAACCTAAAAATAATATCTATTCTAAAAAATTTTATTATATAATCAAGAAATATTAGTTTATTGATATAAATTAAGTAATTTAAATATACTTTGATAAGTTGTAAGAAGTGTTATTAATTTTAAATATTATATAAAATATATCTTTTAATACATATTAAAATTTTAAATATTTTTTATTATTTTAAATTATGATTTAGATATTTATTATAAAACCATAATAAGAAATGATAAATCTTGTATGTCCATAGTTATCAAATTTAGTTTTTTCTTGATTGTTAACAAGATTTGTTTTACTTATTTATGATATGCAATAAGTATTATTAATACAAAGAATTTTAAACTATATGAAAACTAATAAATTTATTATAGAATATTTTTGTAATTATTAAATCTAATCTTAAAGATTTATTTCTATACCACTTATTGTATTAGAAGTGCCAAAGGAAATTCTTTTAGATTCTTTTTTCAGAAAACTTTGTATTGATAATCCTATAAAGCATAGAAAGGATGTTATTTTAAAAATAGTATTGTATTTAACATAATTATTATTATTAAGAAACATTTGTAGTTGTGTAACAAAAATGATCAACAAATGTTGATGTATATATTTAGAGTTTATTTATTCAATTCAAATACCAACTTGCAATGATTCTTCATGATATTGTACAATCTAATTAAGAGTATATCTACCATACTTGAGTTGGTATGAATCTAATCACTATATCTAAGTCAATCATAACTATCGACATTTCTATTTTTTATCTAATTTTTTTTATTATAGTAATAAATAAGTTTAGTGGCATATTTTATAATACCAACTTAAATTTATTTTACGTCTTATAGTCTGAAACAAATCTCATTGCAAGAATTAATAACATGTTATAAGAAGTTTTTTCAATTTCTTAAATCTTTATGTATGAACTAATCATACTATTGTTAAAAAAATTCAAATCTAACAAAAAAAAAAAAAAAAAAAAAACTTAGTTCTTGACATATAGATTGGTGTGTCTACACAAGTGATTTTTTCTCATTTTGCATCTATTTATATTTTTATATTAATTTAGATGATTATTTGAGAGTTAAATATCTATAGATTCTATTTGAAAATGGTCTTTTTAAGTTCAACCTTAACAAAAAAGAATTTATGGAAACACCAATACGTGAACTGGAATCAATCATGTGAATCTTCAACAACATTAAATTTGTAGTTTATTATCTGAATAATTTTAATATTTTTTATTTTATTTGATTTTATAAATAAATGATAAATTCTTTTTTGTTAAGGTTGTATGTTGCTGGTACTTTTTTTTATTATTTGAACTTACAAAAAAATAATAATATGTTGCTAAAGTTTTTTTTTTTTTAAATTATTTGTCAATATACATGTAAAAATCTAAAATTATGCATTATAATATCTATAAATATTTTTGTTAGAATCTTAGAAGCAATCAAAGTTATAATTTTTTTTTATTAAAATAATTTAACAAATACTCTCCAAAATAGATTGGTTAAAACTACTAAACATTAATATTCATATTTAGAATATTTTTATACTATTTATTATTTTATTTATTTTAAATTTAAAAAAATAGAATTTTAGTTGCAAATATATTTAGCTAATAGTAATGTTTTTATTTTTATCTTTTGCATAGACATAAAATGGTTCAGTTTTTTATTTTTATTTTTTAATTGTATAGTTTGTAAAAGAGTAAAAAATATTGAAAAGATAGAAAATGTTGTACTAATATTTTAAGACAGATATAATAATCATCCATGTTGTTTTGAGATTAGAGTAATTCTACTTCATGATTACTTGGCTTTAAAGTCATATTTGACAGTATTAAAAAAAATATAATTAACTAAAAACAAGTAATAATCAATATTTTCTATTTTTAATTTTTTTCTATAATAAATTAAAAATTAAAATGAATACAAGTTTACCAATATAATTACAAAAAAATTTAGACCTTGTCAAGTTTTATGGAACTTCATTTTTCATTTAGTATAAAAACTAAGATAAATAGACTTGAATTTAAATATTATTACTTAACAAGATCTCAAATCAATTTATTACCAACATGGCTAATTCTAAGTTATTTTTAACTTTACTCTATAAAAAAGGACATCAAATTGATAGGTTAAAATGATGTATAAAGAATTGGTTTTAAAATATATAGAAGAATAGGTCTAATTTATTTAAATCATATTTATTTATAATGAATATATATATATATATATATATATATATATATATTATCATGTAAAATAACAACCCAAAACATGTATATTTTTAAAGAAGACAATTGATAAAAATATCTTAAGGTATGTCATTTATAATATTTATAATATTTGTAGTATTGTACTGTGAATTAAATTTTAAAATACTATTAAATTTATTTTTTATAATTATTCTATCTTACTGTTTTATAAAATTCTGTTATTTATTTAAAACCTCTATTATAGTAACAGAACCGGGATTTTTGTATGTATCATTGTATCTGTATGTTTCGTTTGTGAAGCAACTGAGAAATAATATTTATAAAGATTTCTTTTTTATTAGACACTAAATAGTGTTAGTTAAACCAAAATTTGTAAATTAACGTGTCTATAATTTGAACATTTATAAAACAACCATAAGAATCATGAACATATGTAAAATGACCTAAAACCTCTACATGACACGGAGTGAAATTTTAACAGATAACAACTAAGAATGCCAAAGGTACAAATCTGCACTCTGACTACAAAACTCCCACTTGCATGGGCCAAACTAGTAAATGGAGTAGTACTACCACCATAAATAAATAAATAAGTAAATAAATAAATAATATATATATATATATAATAAGTGAATAAAAAATAACGACATATCAGAAAATCCATAAACAGTGAAACAATCAAACCGCCAATAGCTCTCATTCTAATAAATATCTACCAGAACACCCAAACCACACCAAATAATCGTGCACTGAACATCAATGCCTTTCCTCACTATCTGTTTCAAAAAAAACAGAACAAAGTAAAAAGAAAAAAACAAAGCTTATCTAGAGGGGCATGGCGATAAGAGGGACACTGCAACAGTTCAATGACAAAACGTGCAATACATTTGCAAACAATACAGTAGCCCATGCATGGTTAAAAATTTACTAAGAAAAGCTTCTAAAGCGTCCCAACAGCTGCTCAGCCTCAGTCCTCGCTGAGCCACATGTGGCGCCGCCCCATTGATTGACGTCAGATAACAATTGATCAGAGGATCGAATCTCTTAATCATCCACCCTCACATGCTACAGATATATTGTCTAGCCAACGGATTGCGTACAAGAACGATGTGCGAATCGATTCCCCATTGACTCGCTTTGTCACATACGGAGCTGCGTAGTAAATTATCAAATCAAGTACGTCACATGCTGCGACACTATGTATGCGTCGCGAGTCCGAAGACTTTGATGCGATTGCTTGAAGTTTTGCTTGCCTGACGTCGGAGCATTCACATTTAGATTGCAAGATTCTTCGAGCATCCCCTGGAGAACCCAATTTTGGCAAGCGGCGGGAACGTGCATCGCTGCGGTTCGGATTCGTGCTCGGAAAGTCGCTCTGATCAAGTGGCAGTCGATGTCCGAGTTGGGCTAGAACTTGGGACCGATTAGGCCGCGTGGGTTTGAATTGTGGTGCAGGCAGGCGACGTCTACTTTTCTCTGTGGAGCTTCGATAGTGCTCGTTGTTTGGATACTTGACAGCATTTGTTTATTTGAATTTTTCTTTCTTTACTTTATTTTATTTTATTTTTTATATCGTTGTGTGTTCTGGGTCTGTGTATTGAGCTTCTTGAACATGGTCGTGAGTTTAGCTGTGGAGCGTGGTGGTTTGTGTTCGTGATGTCTTGTGGCGTGTTTATGGTGCTGGTTGTGCAGATTTTGTGTCGGAGGTGATGCATGCTTGTTAAGTAATTGGTCATGGTTGCAAAGGGATTAGGAGATGACTGGAGCTGAGAAGATGGAGGAAGGTGTTGGCCATGGCCAGAATGGAGGTCACGAAGTTGTAGGGGTGGGGCGAGATGGGATGGAAATTGAGGTGTTGAAGCAAATGCGGGCGATGCTAGCCAAAGTTGACCCTACATCCAAGGTTAGCACTACTCGGGGAAATATTTGAGTGCAATGAGTGTGGGTGTTGAGGTTTGAATTGGAACTCGGAGATTGACATTCCCGCTGATGTGATCAGGACACCGACGACGCAACTTTGCTTCGCTTCCTCCGGGCAAGGTCCATGTGCGTTCCGAAAGCTTGCAAAATGTTCGCCGAACACCAGAAATGGCGACGGGAATACTTCCCTCAGGGTCATGCTCAAGAAGACGAGATTAAGGATGAGCTCACTGCAGGGAAGTTTTTCATGCAAGGTCATGACAGAAAGGGTCGCCCCATAGCCCTGCTCCTAGGAGCGAAACACGTTAGTAGCAAAAAGACCATCGAAAGGCAGAAACGTAGGTTACCTGCTGTGAGCCGCTCCAATGAATCTAATGTTGCTTCCATTTCGTTGGTCAGTCATTCGATTTACGCCTGCTCAATGGATTGAATAAACCAAAATTACCAAGTCTAAGCTCTATTCTCAGTCTCCTGATTTGGTGTTCTCGTATCCTTAGTTTAACAGGCGTATATATGTAAGCTGGACGTTCTGTGTTGATCTTGCAGAGGCCCTCTCTTATTTAATGGACAAACTTATTTGCAGGTAAGTCAGCTGCCATATCCAGTTCATACAAAGTCAGTTTTGTTCATTTATTTATTCTTTACTTTTGGGATGAACATATAGTGAGAGGCTGAAACTCATGACTTCTCCAGTAGCTGCATTTCGATCCGTTTGTGTCCTAATCAGACAACTCAGAAACATGTCTTGTTTTCCAGTGTGCAAGTGATGTAACATTGTCAAAATATCAAGTGATGTTACAACATCGTTAATTGTTGTAACTTGCAGTATGCCACCTGGGGAGGAGAAATTCATTGTTATATCTGATCTCAAGGATCTGAAACTTAAGAATCTAGATTTTCGGGGATTCATCTCTGCATTCAATTTCATGCAGGTGAAGTGAATCAACTTCATCTTAACCCTTCCAATCCCATCTTAGGAAAAATAAAATCGGTTCTAGACTTCCCACTCTCTTCCCTGGTAACGTGTGATATTTGTAGTTCTTGCGAGAGAATCGGTATATGTGGCAGTTCTTATTTCCATGTTCCACTTAAGGGATCCCGACTTGCAGGCTTATTATCCAGAGCGATTGGGAAAGGTATATGCGTTGCACATCCCTCAATTATTTTGGGCCTTCTGGAAATTGGTTCACCCCTTCCTAGACGACGTCACAAAAGCCAAGGTAATGGTCTCTGACAAGTCTGCCCTATCCTTGTTTCAGTTCACCATGTTTACTTCAAACAAATAGAATGTGGACTTGCTGACGACCGTGGCAGCTAACTCGTCTGTTCCTTTCTCATGAACTTCGACAGTTCAAAGACTTATGTGGGTTAATGGTTTCCAGATTTCGTTTGTGGAAGATGATAAAATAGAAGAAACTTTGCTGAAAGACATCAGTTTGGAGGAGATTCCGACTTTGTATGGAGGTTCGAAGGAGTTGGTACCGCTTGAACTTGCGCAACCACCCGGTTGGCCTCAATTCAAGCCTGTCACCTGATCGATTTTGTGGAAGCCACTACGTTGTGTGGCATTATTTTTAGGTACATTGCCGTAACCGTAACCAGACAATTGATTCCTGAATCACTCGTCGAGTAAGACATTGTTATTCTTAATTCGGTCAATTTTTCTCCACATTCTGAAAGTACAATCAGAGAAAGACAGGCCCAGATCTCCAGCCACGCGGCTGAGTGACTAAGGTGGTTGTCAAATTGAACAGGTGTCTATGAAAATTAGATATGTTGATCGATCCCGTTATCTAACTACCTTAAACATTCAATGAAGACTTCCAGCAAGAGGCTTCCCGTTCAGCTGCACATCGCCCATTTACTATACCTTGTGCATTGTGAGTCATCCGTTAGTCATGATTCATGAGTCACAAATGGCGGCTGTATTTCAATACCTTAAAATTATAGGCATGTAGCCAAATTCCGCTGTGTCTGCTGCTCCAGATCACTAGGAAGCTTCAGAGACACCTATTTCATGAATTCCATGCTTGGAACCTTTCGAAGTATATTCAATCAGACGTTCAATTACAATAGCAAGAACTTGGGTACTGCCCAGAGTCTTCTCAGTCGAGCGTTTGAGATGGGTCCTTGACATTCTGCTGTTTCTTCGTTGAATATGTTTCGTCCTCCGCTTGACTGTCGGTTTTTCCAGAATAGGATTCTTCCAAAAGCTGACACTGGACTAATGGTAGTGTTTTTGGTCGTTGAATCAACATTCTTGGAGTCCTAAGACTGGATTCATTCAAAGGTTCCCTCTGTTGACGGATACCCCATTACTTCAACTGTTAGACTGTGAAAGACTTTGACGATGCATCATTCCTCATGACTTGCATCAATTGGGTTCACAGGGTCGTTGTGGAATAACGCTGGATTCAGGTGTGATCAGTCGGATTATGTGCGAAAACGGTTTTCAGGAATTCTTCACTTCGGGATTCTGTATAGAAGCATATTGTGTTATATGGAAGGGTGTGATCTGGAGCAGTAGACACAGCGGAATATGCTCGCATAAAAAAAAAAATGATATTAAAAAAATAAAAAAATAAATGATATTCATGAAGAGAAAGAGAGTAGTAGAAAAATTGCAACATCAATATTAGGTTAGGTTAGAAATACACCACACTTACACCTGAAATATCCTTTTTAAATTATAATAATTATTATAACGATAACAGTTTTATCCCTAACAACAAAGTCACAAACCTGTTCATTGTAATGACATGAATGAAGGAATCTATTCATACTGCAATGTTTGTACGTTCATAAATAGACTTCCTCTGACGTTTGAGTATTATTTGTATCAGCACATGGAACTTGATCAAGCTCATGAACAGGGACAATTTGTGGATGAACCTATTTTGTAATTAAATTTTGTTGAGACCTAAAACTTAGTTGATATACCAAGTAAAATTGTATTTTTATTTTACAAATATTTATAAAAAATATGTATATCATAAGAAAAAAAATTACTTAAAATCCCAATTTACGAAGACATTTTGAAAACCTTACAAAAACATCTTATAAAAGAAACATTGTCTTTCATAAGTCTTGATCTTTGAAGATAGTGTAAATAGAGAGAAGGTCATAAAATAGACCAAATTATAATTTTTATTTTAAGTATAAATTACACAATCTTATATTTTTAAAATAATTTTAAATAATTTTAAAAATAATTATAGTTTTTTAATAGTTGTTTTTGGTATATTTTCATACAACTTCTCTTGAATTTTGGTAAAACCATTTCTTTGAGATTGGGCTATTGCAAATCCCAAGAGACAATACTAGATATGTTATTTAAGAGAAGAGTTTTATGCCACCTTATCTTTTCATTAAATATACTTTGGGATAATTTTTTCAATGTATAAAGCTAATAAACTGTGGCTTTGTAATTTCAACCAATGAAAGAAATTAAAAGTTGTGACCTTTTACCTTGGTTTTTTTAATATAAAAAATTCTCCTAGAAATATTTGAATTCTCCAAAAATCACATTTAAAATTGATTTAACCAATCATTTGATTATTTATTTAAATAAATTTATTTTTGAAAGTAATTTTTAAAAAAATAAAAAAAATTATTAAATATCTTTTTTTAATCCAATAATATCAAAAAAAAATACCATACAATGTAAGAAATTTTTTATAAAAGACAATAAAATTTTAACTAATCTTGTCGAACATTTCAAAAAAATCTGATACTTCAATTATGGATAATTTTTTTTATACAAGTAGACATAAAAATTTACAACAAGAGATAAGTATATTAATGATTATGCCAAACAACAAGAAGCATGCAAACCACAAAAGAAACAAAATTTCAAAATTTGAAGATGGTTTTACTCTTATTTTTGTTTGTAGTATTTCTTAAGCTAAAACTTGTTATACAAGCTTGTAGTGTTTTTTTTTTTCCAAAAATATTAGAAGAAGTCCTTTAAAAAATAATATTTTTTAAAATGTAAATCTATTTTTTAAAAAATATTAAGATATTCTATCTACACATGCAAAATCAATCAAATAAAGTGAAAGAATTAAAAATAACACTCGCAAATGAGCATGGTTATCTTTGCAAAACTAGAGTGTTATTTTGTATCCAAGTAAAGGAAGACCATCCTCGATCATTGCCCATATTCATGGCATATTACACAACCCTTTTTGGACAGCTATATATATATATATATATATATATATATATTTATTGTAATTTTTCATCCATCCACAATGCATAACTCATGGCCTCTCAACGCCAAGCTTAGCTTTGCTTTATTCAGTTTCTTAGCCCCATCAATTGAAATGTCAAATACATTGCTGGGTCCTCACAGTTCCACGTGGATCCTGGCATCCACCTGGCATCCACCTGGTGGCTCATGTCAGCTGTCCAAGCCTTAAAGAGCCTGAACCCTAATTGTAGCCAATGGAATCACGAGGATATCCACGTGGGCACATAGTCTCAAGTGTGGATACAAGAATATTAAAAATAAAAAATAAAAAAGTTTCAAGTCTTGAAAACATTATCAGATGATTTATTAATTTCTTTCTTTTTCTATTTTTATTTTTTGTCATTGGAACTCGAGTTAGGAGCAGATATGAGCAGATAAAGAATAATGTGATGTCTTTGTGTCATGCCTATTAAGGCTTTTTCTTAAGTTTTTATATTTGTCTTATTAGGATTTTCAAAATTCTATTCCAATGGATATAAGTGACATTATAAGATAAGATGTTCACAAGTATTCATGGCACATCATATTATGACGTTGATGTAGAGCGTGCAAAAGACACACATAGTTTAGTTCACCATAAAGAATAGATAGTATCAGAACTTAATAATAATAATTATTACTATTATTGTTATTTTTCTTATCAATTTATAACATTTATTTCTTTTGATTTTCCTCTTCTTTTAAATTAATTTACTTACACATTTTGAAGAAAATCCTTAATATATTGACATGATTATTGGTCTAAGTAATTTTATGCCAATGTAACCTATCCTTATTTTTTTACTTTCTGGGTTCTTTTAAGGCTTTCATACCATCAATAACATGTTACTCATAGTTTTAGCTTAGAACATCTTGTCCATACTAATATTGTTTCAATGTTGGTTTGTTTGTTTGTTCGTTTTGTTTTGTTCTTTTTGTTCTTTTGGAATTAATATAGGCATAACATTGCCTGTTTTTGCAATTGGTTTTAGGATTTATATATTTTGCAACCATCTAAATCATAGAGATGAAACTAACTGAATACTCAAACTTGGTGCCAAATATGCAATTTAATTTGCTTCTTAATTTTGTACACATCGCAAAATGTTTCAATTCTTTATTTTACTAAATTCAAATTTACAAGCCTACATATACAAAAATGTGAGTACATCACACACATTGTTGAACTGTGGTGAAAAAAATTAAGAAAAATACTAGCCAAGTTATTGATGTAAATTTCTGGAGCATTTGCTTACAAGAATATTTTTTATGTATTAAAAAAGAATCAAAATCATAATCAAACAAATAGTAAATTAAAAGATAAAAAGAAAGAGAACAAAAAAGAATGATGTATTCAAATGCATATAGAATGGATGTTTGACATGTAAAACATTTGTGCACATTTTTGTTGCTTTTTGTTTTTTGTGAAGCTTAATCATCTACAACTTTTGCAGTACATGGTTCACAGAAGTCATTGTTTTCAAATAAATTATCAGGACAAACATATTTTGAATTGAATCCTAAATAAAAAAATTTTCATCATCATCATCTTTACTATTTTTAATCATAAACTATAATATGCTCAAAATACACCTACAAATACTTAGACTATGTATGACACTTGTGAATCTTGCTCATATTCTTATTTTAATTCATGATTTTATAAATGTCTAAAATTGTATTATAACTGTGAAGTGTTTAATATACTTGTAGGATTCTTTCTTGAATAATAGAATATGTAAATATATATGTATGTATATCTATAGAAGAATGTTAAATATATCCATCCTTTTAATGAATCGATCCATCCTATTGTTACTATTATTAGAAAATAGATCATCTCCACAAACCATCCTTACAATCATGGCTCTCATCTCCACCTCCCTTGTTCCCAGCCTTTGCTCCCTCTATTCTCAAATTTCATCTCAACCATCCTTATTTCCAACTCTTACTCTATTTGTTCCCAGTTCTTATGTCAACCCCCCTTGCTCCTTGTTGAGAATGTTTTAGAAAGACACAAGAGTAATAGTAAGTCATATACATACATAAGAGTAGTAGTAAGTCATACACATACATAAGAGTAGTAGTAAGTCATACACATAAGAGGGTTTCTAAGGAGAGAGAGCTTCATACATAAAATTCTATTGATTTGGTTGTGTCTCATATACAAGAAGAGAAAAGGAGAGAGGATAAACAGTACTTCTCCACTAGACTCTAAATATTGTAGCTATGGTATTTACTATAGTCTACAATAAATATTATAGAGAGCGCCGACTATATTTAATGATCTCAACACTCCTCCTCGCTCATCATAATATTTACATAATATAAAATTTTTATAGAATTATGATCTATACTTTTCTGTGATCTTGGAAGATCAACAATTGTTGCCTCATTAAAACCTTATCTAGGAAAACCTTATTGTATTTAAGGATAAAACCATAGATGAAGGAAAAAGAGTACAACATCATTTTCTTTAATTATTTAAAGAGCTCATTAACTTTCTTATTCAAGAAAAGCAAGTCACCGCATACCAATGCCATAAGTAAGTCGACGATGGTTGCACAATGGGAGAGCTTTGGTGAAGAGATCAACAAGATTATTTATAGATTCAATTTTCTTAATTATAAGTACTTGATCAGTAATCAAGTCATGGATATAACTAAAATACTTTGGATCAATATGCTTTGTCCTGTCATCTTTAATGAAACCAACTTGTATCTGTGTAATACAAGTATTGTTATCTTCATGCAAGATAGTTGGAGAATCATCATATAAAAATTCACATGTTGTATGAATGAATTTATCAATTGATCACAACCAAATACATTCTCGAGATGCTTCATGT